TATACACTCTAGTAGTCTGCCTGTGGTTGCATAGGGAAACTACATGCCTCCCTGTTCACCCCTAGCCATAGATTGACAGCAGATCTTGTAGGGAGCATTCCTGTCAATACTGCAAGGCGCTGAGCAACATGAGAGTCATCCACCAGTGCTATTAGTTGGGGGAAGAAGAGAAGACTGAGCGGTCACATGACTGCACTGATGACATCGGCAAAAAAAAAAAGATTTTTAACAATTCCTTTGATTTTTCACAGGATGTTCTTATTCAGTATTTATATATTGCCATTATAAGCTTAATGTGGTTTGAGTTTACAAATAGTTTAAAGCCGTTGGATCTGCACAGCAGGCAAGGAACCAGCATTCTCAGTAGAGGTCAGCTATGGCTGCTTTCATAGCTTTTCAGAGTCATCTGTCGTAACTTATTAAGGGTGTAACATGTTACTGATGCAGCAGCCCCCGCACTCCCCTCTTCCCTCCCCGAGCCCCCCCCCGTTGTGACAGCGGGTCAGGGATTTTCTCCCCAAACATGCTGTCAGTTTAGAAAAATTATTATTATTATACAGTATTTATATAGCGCCAATAATTTGCTCAGCGCTGTACATTATAGTGGAGACAGTACAGTAACAATACAATGCGATACACGAGGGGTTCGAGGGCCCTGCTCCTTGAAGCTTACAATCTAGGAGGGAGGGGAGAGTGGTACAGGAGGAGATAGCTGTGGGGGATGGAGTGGTGGGAAGAGCGGAGGAGATCAGCAATTAGGTGAGGGCGGGGTAGGCTTCTCTGAAGAGAGGTGTTTTCAGGGTGCGCCTAAAGGAGGGGAGAGTAGGTGATAGTCTGATGGATGGGGTAGGGAGTTCCAGAGTATGGGTGACGCCCTGGAGATGGGGCATGGGAGGGCAGACCAGGGAACTGGAGAGTAGGAGGTCTTGTGAGGAGAGAAGAGTGCGTGTTGGTTGGTAGATGGATATCAGATCGGAGAGGTAGTTTGGGGCAGTGTTATGAACGGCTTTGTACGTCAATGTTAATATTTTGAATTTTATGCGTTGGGCAATTGGAATCCAGTGGAGGGATTGGCAGAGGGGGAAGGCGGTGGCTGTGCTCGGGTCTGCCCACCCAGCTGCGTCTCTTATTCAGAGAGTTCTGTACGTTGCGGCTGATGGTTTGTAGTTCTCAATGAACTACCGTGGTGCTGGTGAGCACTCGAAATAGTTCATTGATCCTCCCTGTGATTCAGTAACTGCCTGCCCATACGAGATATGGGCAGATAGCTACACTGACAATCTGCAGGAGCCTAAAATTAATAATAAATGCACTTTTTTTTTTTTTCAACCTGAAAAAGATGTGCTTTTTTTTTTTTTTTTTAAGGTGAACCTATGCTTTAAACCAGGGGTGGGCAATTGTGGCCCTCCAGCTGTTGTAGAACTACAAGTCCCATCATGCCTCTGCCTTTGGGAGTCATGCTTGTAACTGTCAGTTTTGCAATGCCTCATGGGGCTGGTAGTTCTACAACAGCTGGAGGGCCACAGTTGCCTACCCCTGCTTTAAATTGTTTCCCCTGATAACTTCCTGATGTGATTAGTTATGGAAGCTTAATGGAAAGTGAACACTGTGATGTGTATACATATAATTGCCACATGAAGCAAGTGATTTCCTAAATGTCTGGGTGTATTGATCCGTATGATTTCATATACTTTTCACACACCTGATACTGGAGAATGCTCAAAATGCGGCAGAAATGTGACCCGATTGCTCTGATTTAAATTCTGTAAATTCCAAGTTTGTGAGAAAACTGGGTAAAGTGTAAGTTTAGAATGTATTCATTAACCATTAAGCAGCTATATAACCCATGGACCTTGATAAATGCATAGTACCCTGTTTGATGTCTGTCTGTGCTGTGGTTGTCCAGCAATCAGTATTTGAAACTGCCATCCATCTACCAGTGACACCATGCAACTCGCACCCCATGAGGGCACAGGGAAGCTTTCTCATTCAGGCTTTACAATCAAAAGAAGTAGATAGTGTGGGAGGGCTGAGCTTTGCCATGCATTGCTTGGTTTTGCTGGCAAATCATCAGCAGCAGGGGTGTGTTGAAAGTTTTGAAAAAAAACTACTTGTCCAGGGACTAAATTGGGGTTCCAGTCTACTTGTCCCTCATGACAATCTACTTGTCCAGATAAATTTTTTTTTTTTTTAACCAAAACTGTATTTAAATCTGCTTTAACTGCTTCTCGACCGCCCTATAGCAGAAATACTGCTTCAGTACCCTATATTTTCCATAGGCGACACGTTTAAAGCCCCTTTATAGGCCATCATTATAGTGTTACGGAGGAGGTCTGCTGCTAGAATTATTACTCTCATTCTGGCGTGTGCCGATATGTAACGTGTATTGAAATCAACGTTTTCATGCATAGGCACCCCAGTGTGTCCTCTCACTTTTGTACGTGCATATATGTGGGGGCTCAAATTTTTTTTTTTTTTTTTTTTTTTAAGGGGATGTTCTGTGCTTTGCTGTAACTTAAATTTTTTACAATTTAAAAAAAAAAAACTTTTTTTTTTCATCACATAGGGGACAAAATAAGACTTGATGGCCAGGAAATCTCTGATCGGGGACCTGGAAGTAAACATCATAACGGCACTTCCGGGTTAGGGACAAAAAGGGGAGGAGAGCGGACATGTCCACTCTCCTCCTTGCCCTCTAGCCGACGGTGATGAACCGGTCTTGGGGGCTGGCACTGTAGGCACAGCAGGGCTAAGGGTTAAAAAAAAAAACAAAAAAAAAAAACTACTTGTCTGGCACTACATGTCCCGTGTGTCAAACAAAGTAGTTACAGTGGATAAAAATGTCTACACACCTATGAAAAGTGTCAGGTTTCTGTGATGTAAAAAGAATGAGACAAAGAGAAATAATTTTAGAACTTTTTTCCACCTTTTTAATGTGACCTATAAAAACTGTACAACTCAGTTGAACAACAAACTGAAATTTGTTGGGGGGGGGGGGGGGGGGTAAACATAAAAAAACCTAAAATCATGTGGTTGCATAAGTGTGCACACCCTCTTATAACTGGGGATGTAGGTGTGTTCAGAGTTAAGCAATCACATTCAAAAACATGTTAAATAGGAGTCGGTAAACACCTGCCATCATTTAAAGTGCCTCTGATGAACCCAAAATAAATTTCAGCTGTTCTAGTAGGTGTTTCCTGACATTTTCTTAGTCACATCCTACAGCAAAAGTCATGGTCTGTAGAGAGTTTCCAAAGCATCAGAGGGATCTCATTGTTAAAAGATATCAGTCAGGAGAAGGGTACAAAAGAATTTCCAAGGCATTAGATATACCATGGAACACAGTGAAGACAGTCATCAAGTGGAGAAAATATGCTGCAACAGTGACATTACCAAGAAGTGGACGTCCCTCCAAACTTGATGAGAAGAAAACTGGTCTGGGAGGCTGCCAAGAGGCCTACAGCAACATTAAAGGAGCTGTAGGAATATCTGGCAAGTACTAGCTGTGTGGTCCATGTGACAACAATCTCCCGTGTTCTTCATATGTCTGGCCTATGGGATAGAATGGCAATACGGAAGCCTTTTCTTACGAAGGACAACATCCAAGCCCGGCTAAATTTTGCAAAACCACATCTGAAGTCTTCCAAACGCATATGGAAAAATGTGTTCTGGTCTGAAGAATCCAAGGTTGAACATTTTTGGCCATAATTCCAAAAGCTATGTTGGTGCAAAAACAACACGGGCAGCACAGTGGCTAAGTGGTTAGCACATCCGTCTGGCAGTATTAGGGTCGTTGGTTCGAATCCCAGCCACGGCACCTCCTGCCTGGAGTTTGCATGTTTTCCCTGTGCCTACTGGGTACTCCGGTTTCCTCCCACACTCCAAAGACATGCTGGTAGGTAAATTGGATCCTGACTAAATTGGCCCTAATATGTGTATGAATGTAAGCTAGGGACCTTAGATTGTACTCCACTTGAGGGTTAGGGACTGATGTGAATGTATAATATGTATGTAAAGCGCTGCGTAAATTGACGGCGCTATACAAGTACCTGAAATAACACTTCACATCACCAAAACAACACCATACCCACCGTGAAGCATGGTGGTGGCAGCATCATGCTTTGGGGCTGTTTTTCTTCAGCTGGAACTGGGGCCTTAGTCAAGGTAGAGGGAATTATGAACAGTTCCAAATACCAGTCAATATTGGTACAAAACCTTCAGGCTTCTGCTAGAAAGCTGAACATAAAGAGGAACTTCATCTTTCAGCATGACAACCACCCAAAGCATACATCCAAATCAACAAAGGAATGGCTTCACCAGAAGAAGATGAATGTTTGGAATGGCCCAGTCAGAGCCCAGACCTGAATCCGATAGAAAATCTGTGGAATGCTCTGAAGAGGGCTGTGCACAGGAGATGTTCTAGCAATCTGACAGATTTGGAATGTTTTTGCAAGGAAGAGCGGGACAAATATTGTCCAGATGTGCCATGCTGATAGACTCTTACCCACAAAGACTGAGTACTGGAATCACATCAAAAGTTGCTTCAACAAAGTATTAGTTTAAGGGTGTGCACATTTATGCAACCAGATTATTTTAGTTTTTTTTTATTTTTACTTCCCTTCACCTAAAAGATTTCAGTTTGTTCTTCAACTGAGTTGTACAGTTTATAGGTCATATTAAAGGTGAAAAATGTTCTGAAATTATTTTTGTCATTTTTTTTTTTTTTTTTTTACATCACAGAAACCTGACATTTTAGCAGGGGTGTGTAGACTTTTTATATCCACTGTATATCACTTTTCGGAGTTAGTCATTGTAATGATTAACTTGTAAGTGAAGGTCATACATTGTAGACAATTCATCACATATTTATTATAGATTGTCTGCTATGTACAGAGAGAAGCTAACTTTGGCTTTGTTTCAGAAGTCTCTGGCAGGTTATGTAGTGGAAAGTATATATAGCACACAGAGCATACATTACCATGCTGTTTTTCTTTTTTTAGATGTGGAAATGTAAACTTTGCCAGAAGGACAAGTTGTAAACCGGTGCGGACGAGGTGAGGGTTCATCTACTTGTGTACCTAAAAGATTCTGGATATTTTTTTTTGGTTTTGAATGTTCACCATTTTTATGTTCTACTTAGAAAAAACAACCGATGCGAAAATGATGAAAGCTGGAGGGACAGAGATTGGGAAAACTTTGGCGGAAAAGAGTCGTGGGTTGTTCAGTGCTAATGACTGGCAATGCAAAACGTAAGCTGTTCATGAGTTTTTGTATATTGTGTAGTCTTTGTAAAAAAAAAAAAAAAAAAAGTTTATCCTACACCGAGGCATGCACTTATTTTCCTTTTTACTGTGGGAAGTGGGGTGGGTGGGCAGTAAGATATGTGGCAGCAGTCTGTCTGTTGGAGAATGACCGCTTAAAAGGAAAGTTTCCCTGAGACTCTTGTCTCACTGATACCAACAACAGACGGCATTAGTTTTTAGCCTCTGGTGCCCATACACAGAACTGTTGTTGCAAACAATGAGCTCAATGCATGGGGATCAGGCTGTTTTGGGGGGGGGGGTTCCTGGAGTAAGTAAAGAAAACTTCTAGCTATTGCAGGCAGACATTATTGCATGCAGAGGACATTGGAAAACCTGTGTGAGCGGGTTCCATTTGCGAGGGTAAAGGGAAGAAACTTTTTACTGTGTACTGTATCAGTCCATTTGCATCAGCTCTTGGTAGCGATGCTATAAAGCAGGGGTCTCCAAACTGTGGCCCTCTAGCTGTTGAAGTACTACAAGTCCCATCATGCCTCTGGGAGTCTTGCAGTCCCTCAACACCTGGAGGGCCATAGTTTGGAGACCCCTGCTATAAAGGTGTGTCTGTCTGTCTGTCTGTCGACATAGTGTGGAATTTATCTGCTACTGACCAGTTGGCTTTTTTCCTGTTGATAGGGTATGATGCATATAAAGAAGGGAGACACTGATACTTCCATTCTGCAAAGTCCTACAGAGTGTATATAAAATCATTTATATCATTCTCTGCTGCAGAATAGCTTAAACAGTCACATAGATACACGTAAGAAGCATTACAAAATAGTTGTAGAAGAAAAGGCAGCAAATAAACTCAATGCGTAGCGTATTCTGATGCATATTACCACTCGAGTACCAGCTGTCATACATCCCTTCATTACCAGGCCATTTTTTTCATTTCCAGTGCTGTGATTTGACTGACACATTACATTTTCAAAGTAGTAATAAATATAAATATATATATATATATATATATATATATATATATATATATATATATATATATATATATACTATTTATATATATATATATATACTATATATATATATAATCGTCATACTTATCTGCTCTGTGCAGTGGTTTTACACAGGGCAGCCTCGACCTTCCTCTTCTCTGGTCCCCCGCTGGAGTTCCTAGCTTCCCCCCGACCAGTACCCCCAATATCAAGCCACTTGCAGTGAGGGCACAGATGCGTTTTTCTCTTCTAAGCCTTGCTCTATGCATCCATAAGACACACCGAGCTGTAGCTCGATACCCACCCATACCAAAAATGCACCAAAGACATCCAAAATTGACCCCTTTATGGAAAGTACAGACCCCAGGCTGATCATAGATATTGCATGTAGAACACTGCGATCAACACTTTAAGTTTTTAAAGAGGTATGGCAATAGTGAAATGGCTAAACCAGGAGCAGAGACACGGTGCTAACTAATTTTGCCATTGTATTGCCTATCTCCTCTTGCTAATACAGCCATACTCATGGTAGTGTCTTATAAGAAATGGACTATATTTAATCTTTAATCAATTTTTCCTTGTATGGGTGTTTGATGAATATACAGCAGGTAATATAAGTATTGAACACGTCACCATTTTTCTAGGTACATTTTTTAATTTTTCTAAGAAAACTCAATTGGTTTCAAAGAACATAAACTGCTAGAATGGCCCAGCCAATCACCTAACTTGAATCCAGTAGGAAATCTATGGAAAGAAGTAAAGTTCATAGAAGAACCTTAAAGATTTGAAGACTGTGTTGAAGAATGGGCCAAAATCGAACCTGAGCAATGCATGCCACTTGTTTCTCCATACGGGAGATGTCTTGAAGCTGTCATTACCAACAAAGGATTTTGTGCGAAGTATTACATTTCACTTAGCGTGTTCAATACTTTTTATTACACAACTTAATTTCTGAATGTTTGTTTTGGTTTCTTTGTATGTGTGGATGGCATGGGTTGTTACCGACATGTGGTAAAAATGTAATGTCAATAGCACCTTCAGAAATATATTTACCTAGAAAAATGGTGACATGTTTAATACTTATTTTACCCGCTGTATCTCTTACAGTAATAATGCAGTTTCAAGCTTTGAATTGAAAACATTCATAGATATGCATGTTACTAAAGTCTTTTGTTTCTGTTTTAGTTGTGGGAATGTAAATTGGGCCAGAAGATCAGAGTGTAACATGTGTAATACGCCAAAGTATGCCAAACTGGAGGAAAGAACAGGTACAACTTCACTGTGGCTCATTGTCATGATCTGTAATTGTGGTACATGTTTTTTGAGTACTTTTTATAGCTCAAAACCGTTTTGTGATATTTTATACATTAGTTGGCTTAAGCCTATCAAAGATGGAGACAATTGCTCGCCCTACAGTCAGTGTTGATAGCGAGGGGGGGATCCCTCCCAAGAAGCTATCATGTTCTTCCTGCTGGGGGAACACAGTGATCACTGCTGGTGGCTATAATAGCTTCTAGCAATAATCTCAGGTAAAATCCAACAGGCTGGTTGTACCCAAGTTGGTCAACTTGGGTACATTCATCCTGCCTATACATGGTTTGAATCTCCGATTTCGCTGAGGAACCAGCTGAGATTTTAACCGTCAATAGCTGGCTTTGGTGTGTTCTGGGATCCCAAACGTTTATTTGCCATTGCTTTGGAGCCCAAAATGAGTTTCTCTGTGGAGGGCTATTGTAGATAGAAATAAGTCTAACAATTTAAGGACAATAGATTTTCATTGATTTTGTCTTGGCCAGATGCAGGTTTACAGCTCAATTCAAAGAGGAACAGCATCTTCAAATTAGTTTTTTTTCTAATTCAGATGTTCACCTAGTCCATAGAGTTCTATCTGATCCTTAGCCTCCCTAACAGCATGGGACCACACACGCATTAGGCTAGGTTTACAAAATATACTGTATGTGTGCGGGTGCCATTAATTCTAGTGGCACACCACATGCACTGGGAACCGCATTGCACTTAGAGTTCCCGTGCGGGATACGATTACTAAAATGCTGCAGGGACATTTTTCCCTGCATTTTAGGAGGCCTGCTAGCCCATTCAAAAGAATGCCCGTTCAAATCGCAGCTCTCAGAACCTCAATAGCGTGAACCTAGCTTTACAGAAGTTGGCTAGAGATCCGTTTTGGGTTTTGACATATTTAAGTATGCTATTGAAAGTGTTTTGTTCTACTTAATTAATAAAAAAAAAAATTGTAAAGTACCAGAAATCCTGTGCACTTTGCAGTGTTATCAGCCCTTCTTGGTTCACTCGTGGACTAAACAACACTTGTTCTTTGTTAAAAAAGGGAGGTAGAGGAGTTCTGTAGTTCCAACATTTTCTGTCTTGGTGTGATAGAGCTTCTCCTCCTTAGAACGCAGTACAGTGAGTGACTGGGAGAAGTGAGTTAGGGCTTGTTCATACGTGCGGTCAGGAAGTGGTAGAAGCAGGCAATTATGTACACATGCCATGACCATAATGCTCTGCTTCGCAATCATGGCAAAAATGAACCCCCCCCCCCCTATTGCATTTGGTGGCAGTACCAGAGCCGAAGGCAACGTTCAACTTAAAAGGCCACAGCACAACGATCTGGTATTTTCAGGGTTAAAGCAGAGAAGAGTCGATGCATTGCCTCTCAGCCACTTGTCTATTACCCTCTCAAAAGTTATCCACCACAGATTGTAAGGTGGCAAGGGCTGTAGCAGGTGAGAACCAACCCCATACTGGCAGTACCAGCAGGTGAAATCAAAGGGGAAAAAAAAAAACCTTGGCAATAAAGAAAACTAACGCAGCCACCATATTTCAAGTATGGTAAACTGCAGTTTATTACCTTTCTGTTATTGATCATCCTAAAGTGGACCTCTCTCCTAATTTGAAGTTGGCCTTTTCCTTCTCCATCTCCATTCTCACGCAAGCTGTCTTTGCACGTGGGCAGCATTACCACAGTCTGTGTGCATGGGCACTGTCAGGACCCAAGAAGCGGGTGCATCTGTACACATGCCACCTATATGCCGACGACACACAAATCTATCTCTCAACCCCCCACCTCACCCCCTCAGTCTCTGCCTGAATCACACACCTACTGAGCGACATATCAGACTGGATGTCGCTCCACTTCCTTAAAAAACTGAACCTCTCCAAAACAGAGTTTCTTGTCTTCCCCCCCCCCCCCCCCCCCCCCCCCCCCCCCCCCCCGGGACACCACCCCCCATTGACTTCCTCATCACATCCAACAAACGCCACCATCAAACCCGCCCCGCAGGCCAGAGTACTTGGTGTCATTCTGGACTCCAACCTATCCTTCCAGCCCCAAGTCCAATCTTTAACAAACTCATGCAGACTCCACCTCCGCAACATCGCAAAATCCGCACGTTCCTAACCCCAGAAACCACTAAACAGCTCATCCACTCCTCATTATATCACGACTCAACTACTGCAACTCCCTCCTCACTGGCCTGCCTCGCTGCTGGCTATCCCCGCTTCAGTCGATCCTGAATACGGCTGCCAGACTCATTCACCTTTCCAACCGCTCCATTTCCGCCACCCCCCTCTACCAATAGGTCCACTGGCTTCCAGTTGCACAACGGATCAAATTCAAAATCCTAACACTGACGTACAAAGCCGTCCATCATAGTGCCCCGAACTACATCACTGACCTAATATCCAAGTACCGCCCGGCACGCACACTCCGCTCCTCACAAGACCTCCTTCTCTCTAGTTCCCTGGTCTCCTCCTCCCATGCCCGCCTCCAGGACTTCTCCAGGGTGTCACCCATCCTCTGGAACTCCCTGCCCCAACCCATCAGATTATCACCTACTCCTCCTTTAGGTGCACCCTGAAAACCCATCTCTTCAGGGAAGCCTACCCCACCCCCTGATAACTTGCCGACCTCCTCCACTCTTCCTACCACCCCATCCCCCACAGCTATCTCCTCCTGTGCCACCATCCCCTCCCTCCTAGATTGTAAGCTCGAAAGAGCAGGGCCCTCAATCCCCTCATGTTTTGCATTGTATTGTTATTGTTCTGTCACATGTTCTGTCCCCCTTTGTAATGTACAGCGCTGAGCGAACTATTGGCGCTTTATAAATACTGTATAATAATAATAATAATAATGGCGGCACCTGGGGTAGGGGGGCAGAGCCACTTAACAAGGCAGACTCGTTCTTTAATGTAACTTATTTTTTTTTTTTTGAAAAAAGAACTTCTAATGCATTAGTTAATGATTCTGATACTTCATATGTATTATTATGCAGGATATGGAGGTGGCTTTAATGAACGTGAGAACGTAGAATACATTGAACGAGAAGAATCTGATGGGGAGTACGATGAGGTAACATTCCTTGCAGTGATTCTCTATTTGTGTAGTGTTGCTGGCTATGTGCTTGTCTTCCACCTGTGTACCTTAAAGAATTCTAGGATCATATTGACTTAGGCTCCATTCACACCTATACGTTTTTTAGTGCTTTTTGCAGAAATGCACTACAGTCCATTTAACATGGTTTCCTATGGAATATGTTCACATCTATGCTTTTTTGAGCTGCGTTTTTGGAAAGGGTCAGGAACTTTTTTAAAAGCAAGAAGCAGCGTTTTTGCTACAATAGAGTTCAATGGTGAATCTGCTGAAATGCATGATAGTGCGCTTTTTGCCGCGATTCACCTTTTTACATTTTAATTTTGCCCAGCAAATAAAAAATTCCACTTAAACAAAAAAAAAGAAAGAGCTGAACAAAACGAACTGCGAAAAGCACTGCAAAACAGACAAAAAAGCAAACTGCATAGGTGTGAACTGAGCCTTAGTAGAGGTTTTAGGAGGGGGGAGGGAGTAGTTTTAAAACTAACCTGTAAAAGAAAGATGCTTATTCTTACCCTTTCTTGGGCACTCCTGTGTGGTCACAATGATGATTAGCTCTTCTCTCTCACCTAGCAGCATCTTCAGGGTGGAGGAGGAACAACCGGCAGTGGATGGCCCATAGTAAGTCTATGGGCGACACCCTGTTTAGGCATTTCAGCCATTGTTTGATCACTCTTCTCTCCCCTGTATCAGGTGCTAGAAAGATCACTTGACCTGAGCAGCCTGGGAATAGATAAGTATATGCACTTTTCTTTTACAGGATAGCTAGTATAGGTATTAGAAAGGAGGGTGGGAGCAGGTTTAGGCTGTAACTCTCTACTTTCCTGGGAACAAAAATTGTGTAAGAAAAACAAATTGCAACGCAAGTCATAATGTAATCGAATGTTATTAAAAAAAATTCCTTTCCTTTTCAATCTGTAGCTGTTTTTTTTTTTTTTTTTTTTTTGTAAAATGAAATTTGGCTGCCTGGAGGCATTTTGTGGTGTACAGAACGCCCCCCAGAAATATAATTTCCTGCTTGTGTGATTGGCTCACTGAGTTTCCCAAAACTCTGCACTAAGATACAAGTTAGACTTTGAGCATCCCCTGCAACACAAATGTCATCTTTAGTGTGATACTCCCAAAGGAAATCACTTCTAAAGGGATGCAGACCCTGCAGTTTTCCTCATTGGAGTCCTGCAAGTGCAGCAGCTGATAGATAAATATGAAGTTCCTTCCATACAAATTTTCTCTGCACATGGACACAGACTATTATTTCTCCAGAATTACAAAACGTAGGAAACTGCAACAGAGTTTGTTCAAATCCTTGCCATGTAAAGATCACCCAAAGGGGAAGGTTTTTTTTTTTTCCTCAACGAAAGTGGAGACATAATTCATTTATGTACAGCAGTGTGCATTTGCTTGTTAAAGTAATGCAGTGCTGTATAACAAAAAATGGCCTGGTCATGAAGGGGGGGGTAAATCTTCTAGAGGTCAAGTGGTTAAAGCAGTTTGTTTCCCACTACCACTGCAGAAGTACATTCACATTAAAGAGGAGCTAAATTGCACCCAGTCAGCATACACATCAGCGGTCTCCGGTCTAGTAACCGCTACTCCGAATACTATGAGCATCGTGATGTCATCCAGCGTGACTGGTCCCAGAAGATTACGGGGCCATTCACAAAGCTCAGCTCTTCTCGCGCATGACCAGTGGGCACCCGGTTGTGAAGCTGCAAGCTGTCACAGCCGGGTGCCCACACTGAAGATGTCGGCACCAGAGAGAGAAGACAGCCGGTGTGAAACCAGTGGTGGTGAGGACACCGCTGGATCAAGGCACTGGTAAGTGTATTTTAAGAGCCAGCAGCTAGTTTTTTTTTTGTTTTTTTTCAGGTGGAACTCCCCTTTAATGTTGGAAACAAATGCCCGGCTTAATGTGGACTTCCAGTTCCTCCAAAACGGTGTTCAGTAGGGTTGAGGTCCAGTATCTGTACAGGACACTGTTCCTTCATATCAACCAGTGTCTTCTATGGAGTTGACTTTGAGGAAGGCAGTTTTCTGGTTCAGCATGACTGTGCTCCTGTGCACAAAGTGTTCCCACAAGGTTGGGAGTGCACAATTTAAAATGTCTTTTAACCCTTCAGTAGAAACACCTGAACTCTATAGTTTGGAGACAGGTCCACATACGTTGTGTGATAGTTGGTTGTACACAAACGTTTTGCCATATAATGTACCTAAGGGGGTGTGAGACACTAAAGCTTCTAGACAGGAACAAATAATGATGAGTGGGGTTAGAACCTCAGAGGTTTTAACTCTTCTTTACTTTATTACCATAAAGTGCTAACTACTCATTACTTTATTAGTATCAGAACGGATAAGTTTTAGTTCTCAGCAGTAACTAGTGATCTTCTGTAGTTTCGAAAGCAGGATGTACTTTAATGTATCCCAACAGATGTGTGGCATGCTTAGTTACTGCTGTGTGTTTGTTTTGTGTCCTGAGAAAAGTAAAGTATACAACATCCAATAAGGCCCTGTATGATTTTGATTAGAATAGAATGGGAATATCCTCCTGCGCTTAATATGGATGAGTCCCTATCCTAACAGCTGCTATCACTCTGCCTTAACCAATAGGTAATAAAGTATCAAACACAAAAATAGTGAAGCGCTAAAGTGAATCCCTATAAACACACACAGTGCATATAATATTAACCAAAAATATTATATATAAAGTTCCCTATACTCCAATGAAACTGTATAACCATCTGTGGGATTTCTATACATACACAAAAAAATTATCAAACGGAAAAACATACCTCATAAATTAAATAAATCCGTGATAAGAAATAATAAAAGTGATACAAAAATAAAATCTGTGTCATTAATATTCAAAAAATTATATATATATATATATATATATATATATATATATATATATATATATGTGATGCTTTCTATAATATATGTGACAACCTAAAAAGAAAAAAAAAATTCATAAATTGTGATTCTCAATCAAATATACGCGATTAATAATTAATTGTGAAAGACCATACATTGAGCTATTAAATAAATAAATCCACTATATCTAGTGATGTTTTTAAATATGAAAAAGTGTCCACAGATGAACAAAAACAGTCCATGCAATAAGGTGAAAACGACACTCAGTGATCTTCACTTCTAGTGCTCAAAAAAAGAAATCCTCCAATGGCAGCAATGCCTGCTCACCTCCCCACCTCGACCCACAAAGGGCCACAAGGCTATAACTCTCCTCCAGGTAATCCTTTTGCTTCCAAGCAGCTCAGTAAGGAATCACAGGACCTCACTCCACCTCCTCTCAAACGTCATATAGGACACAAACAGAGCTTCCCATAGTGTAATACCGTTTATTTAAGACACTCCATATAACATGCTGTTTCCACTCATGTGTTTTCTTAATGAAAAATGCAATTGCATTTTTCATTAAGAAAACACATGTGAGTGGAAACAGCATGTTATATGGAGTGTCTTAAATAAACGGTATTACACTATGGGAAGCTCTGTTTGTGTCCTATATGACGTTTGAGAGGAGGTGGAGTGGAGGTCCTGTGATTCCTTACTGAGCTGCTTGGAAGCAAAGGATTACCTGGAGGAGAGTTATAGCCTTGTGGCCCTTTGTGGGTCGAGGTGGGGAGGTGAGCAGGCATTGCTGCCATTGGAGGATTTCTTTTTTGAGCACTAGAAGTGAAGATCACTGAGTGTCGTTTTCACCTTATTGCATGGACTGTTTTTGTTCATCTGTGGACACTTTTTCATATTTAAAAACATCACTAGATATAGTGGATTATTTATTTAATAGCTCAATGTATGGTCTTTCACAATTAATTATTAATCGCGTATATTTGATTGAGAATCACAATTTATGAATTTTTATATTTTTTTAGGTTGTCACATATATTATAGAAAGCATCACATATATATATATATATATATATATATATATATATATATATATATATATATATATATATTTTTTTATATATTATATATATATACATATTTATTTTATTTTTTGTATTAATGACACAGATTTTATTTTTGTATCACTTTTATTATTTCTTATCACGGATTCATTTAATTTATGAGGTATGTTTTCCGTTTGATAATTTTTTTGTGTATGTATAGATATCCCACAGATGGTTATACAGTTTCATTGGAGTATAGGGAACTTATATATAATATTTTTGGTTAATATTATATGCACTGTGTGTGTTTTATAGGGATTCACTTTAGCGCTTCACTATTTTTGTGTTTGATATGATTTTGATTGCCGTTGTGGGTTTTTTTTTCTTTTTCCATGTTGTTGGTTAACCACCTAGTTAGAAATGGTTTAGAAAATGTTCTCTTGATTTTAGTTTGGGAGAAAAAAGAAAAAATATCGTGGAAAGCCAAGCAGCTCCAGCTCTAATTCAGTCGTTAAGAGTGAGGAGAAGGCGTCTGGAGGTGAGGAAGAGGAGGGGATGAAGAGGAGGAAGAAGAGGATGGAGATCTGTCAAAATATAAACTGGATGATGTAAGTTGTTCTTCACAAACGAAAAAATCCACTAAGAAGGATCTTTGTCAGGATATTGGCAATACAAGCTGTTTCAAACCTCTTATTAGAAGCAGTCCATCCTGACTCCAGAAACTGGCGTAGGTTCCACACTTGAGGCAATGAAGCATTCAGTTTGACCTGTGTAACCAGTACTCATTTTATAAGCAAAGATTTAATTGCTCCAGCTATTTGCATAAATACATTTTAGGTTGGAGTGTTTGTAACCCATTATTGTAACTCTGGTACTGTTTTAGTAAGGATGTTATCCTCCCTCTAGGATGAAGATGAAGACGATGATGGTGACCTTTCAAAATATAACCTTGCCAGTGACGAAGAAGAGAATAGTAAAAAATAGGAAATCCACACGCAGCAGATCAAAATCGCGTTCGTCTCGTTCCTCCTCCCGCTCAAGCTCAAGGTCTAGGTCCAGGTAAACGGGTACAGGTCAAGGGTAAAGCCAGGCAAAATGTCAGTATCTAAACTTTCTTACTTCATATATAATATACTAGAGACTTAAACTGCCTGCCATGCAATGTGCATTTGGAGTTTTATTGTTTTTCTCTTCACAGTTTTTTTTTTTTTTTTTTTTTTTTTTTTTTTTATATATACAGTGTAAGCATTTTATTTGCTTGTACTTTTAGCCTTCATAATTATAACCATTTTACTTTGAAATCTGAGCAGTCATATGCTTCTTAGTTGAATATATAATAAGCAAGGGAATTGTCAAAACTGGAGCCTTGCTGTCAAGAGTGCCTCTGACCTTGGCTGCAGGATGGATGAGGTGGAGTTGATTTATAATATAACTAAAGGCAAAACTTTTTTTATATTTAAGTGATGTCTGATGGGAGATTCCCTCACCCTGATTGTCTTGATCGCTATTTTCACCAGGAAAAAAAAGTGAGGATAAATCCAAAATTTTGAGTGGCCACCAGAAACAGAGGGGAAATCTTCCAGTAAGGACCCTTGTTTCCATGACAAGTGTTTGAGGGAGTTTACCTCACATTGAAAAACTTTTCTCTCGTAACCATTTGAGTCTTCAGGACAGGAAATGACTGAAAATCTCCCTGATGAGACACAGCTGGCAAAAAGAGGAAAGGGGGTTTTATCCCTCCCCTACACTATCCAAAATGGAAAAAGTTTTGACTTTAGCTATGCTTTTCTGGAAATGAACACTACCCCATATATACACAGGATTCCCTTGCCTTATTATGTAATAGGTTTTACTGAAAGAACACTTACTATCTAGACCTTTTCCTTTTGAGAGTACTGCCGCATTCCACATTGATAAGAAAGTCTTAGATAAAATGTTCAAAGTGATTTGGTTATGCAATGCTGCAGCAGCCATATGAATCGGTTTTGCCTTGTGAAATGTACAGAAAAATGGCTTTCCCCCTAAAATATATAACAAGTTCCTGCATCCTCTCAAGCTGCTTTACTAACCAGTCCGGACATTAAGGTACAGACAGTTTGTGACTGATAAACGTTGATGAGTTGGGTCAACCGTGGAGGGATAACAATTTATTTATTTATTTTTTTACTTTGACTGAAAATCACTATAGCCACATATTCTGCGCTCCAAATGTTAAAGTAAAACAATAGGCAAAATTTTTTTTCATTTTTTGGTAGCGTAAGGGAGGGTTGTAACCCATCAGATTTTTTTTTTCTTTTTTTCGCCATCTGTGTCCCATTGCAAAGGTTTCCCTTCACTCCTGTCCGATAGCCAAGCAGGCAGTGAGAAGAAATCCCTGCTAATTAGGAAGATTCCTTGGGGACGCCCTTGTCACCAGAGCTAATGTCCCCATTGGAAGATTTCCCTTCTATTACTTTTCTGGGGACAACCCAAAATGTGGGATTTTCTTTTGCTTTCACTTTTCAATGATAATGGTAAACGTGGCAAATGGGGTGAATCTCCTTAATGGGGACACAGACCGCAATAAAAGCTGACAAGTGTTCTAATCCCTCTCCACTCTATCCAAAACTGAAAAAAAAAAAGTTTTGCTGTTAGTTATACTTTAACTGTAACCTGCATAGGATTTAAACCAACCCTTCCTTCAGACATCACCTGTCCTTTTTAATCACTTGTGAGATTACTTTGAGAGATCCCTTGCTACTGCCTATATTACATCTCTTTAGTTCTCTTTCTGTTGGCTGTGAGAGCCATTGTATGCGCTTGAAGCGCAGCTGACAGAAAAAGGGAGCCGGAGGCAGTAGTTGTAAGAGCTGGCATTATGCCAATGTTTACATAGGACAAGGATGGCTGTAGATGAATGTTCTGCTTAGGACTCATGTACACTGCAGCTGATAAACTCAAGTTTAGGAGCTGTTCAGCAGCCCCTGACCTAATTTTTTTGAACGTAGAAAAACTTGTGTTCAGCAGTCGATTTTATCAGCGTTTCAAATGCAAAATGCTTGTAAACGCGGCAAATCGTGTTTATAAGCGTTTGCGTTTGACAATTTTTTTAACTCTTCCAGTTCCCGATGCTGTCCAGAGCCTTTTTTCATCATGTAAAATGCATGCAAAGCGTTTTCAAGGTACTCAGATTGATAAAACCCCTAACACAGGATGTTCTTATCAAGCTTGTCACACCTAATGACCAATTCACATCTCAGACCTCTCCCACCCTTGGAAACAAAAGATATGTTAATGCCCATTCACATCTCAGACCTCTCCCACCCTTGGAAACAAAAGATATGTTAATGACCATTCACACCTCAAATTTCTCATGAAGATCCCCTGCCAGGTGGCCTTAACCACTTCCCGACCGGCCGTTGCATATAAACGGCCGGACGGTGGCAGTGCAGGGCGGGTGGCCGTTTATAAACAGCCTCCCCGCACCCTGCTTGTGCGCGCTCCTCCGGACACAGTGAAACACCGATCATCGGACGGGACCTCTGTACGAGGTCTCGATCATGTGATCACTGATTGGCCAATCAGTGATCACATGCAAAGTAGTAAGCAAGATGTCACTTCTGACATCATTGCTTACTACGTGTGAAATCTGTGCATGATCACAGAGGTCACATGGTACAAGGCTATTCACAACAGCCTTGTACCATGTGACAAGCTGTGACCAATCACAGCTCACTCAGTACTTCTCAATGAGTGCAAGAATGCAGCCAGAGAGAAAGAGAAATGATTGCTTTTACACCCATATAGGATGTAAAAGCAATCGGTGTAAAAAAAAAAAAAAAAAATCTTCATCACCCCCCACAAGTAGTACAGTGTCACCATGGTGACACTGTACTGCTAGGGTGACAGTATGTAAAAAAAATAAAATAAAAAATAATATAAAAAAAAAAAAAATGTAAAAAAAAAATGTTTAAAAATTATAATTTTTGGTTATAAACTAATTTGGATTTTTTTTTTGTACTAAAAAGATAACGGAATAAATTTTGGCAAAGATTTATGATGAAATATTATTATTTATTTGCATAATTTTATAAAAAAAACACTTTTTTTTTTCAAAATTTTTGGATTTTTTTTTTCATTTACATAGCAAAAAAAATAAAAATCCCAGCGGTCAATAAATACCACCAAAATAAAGCTTTATCTGTCTCAAAACAATTGTAAAAAATTCATATGGGTACAGTGTTGCATGACCGCGCAATTGTCATTCAAAGTGTGATAGCGCTGAAAGCTGAAAATTGCCCTGGTCAGGAAGGGAGTAAAAGTGTCCGGTCTGGAAGTGGTTAATGACTCCTCCACCAGACACCTTTCCCACCCTTGGAAACAGAAGAAATGTTAATGAGCAACTCACACCTAAGCTAATCTCAACACATACTGCTGTCTCTGCTTCTACTCTGTATTTCTCTGAAACAGTCTGAAATGGTTAATAATTTACCACTTGTCAGTGCATTCTGGGCATTTGGGAGGTTCACCTGTACTTATCTTTTAAAAAACGTATCTTTATGCAAACGCGGCTAAACAGACGTTTTTTAACCTACGTTTTCCAGCAGTCAGTTTCCATCGTTCAGAAATGTACCGTGTACATGGGGCCTTAGTGTTATCAGCTCTTGTGTGGACAGGGAGGGAGAGATTTACTAAAACTGGTGTGCGTGGAATCAGGTGCTGCTGTGCGTGGTAACCAATCTGCTTCTAACTTTAGGTTGTTCATTTATGCTTTGACAATAAAACCTGAAAGCTGATGCTCAGCTGCACCAGATTTAGTACATCTCTCCCATAGGGCTCTAACAACGAGGGATGGGGAAAAGCAGATGGGGCCAGTACAGAAAGAATTGACACTCTTGAAAGTCTTGGATCCTTAGAAAATATTAATGGGGTAAGAAAACCTAAAGGAATTTTTTTTTTTTTTGAAAATAGACAATATTGGTATACATAATAAACTACTACTACCCCAAGTGACTAAAAGGAAAGGTTCTGTCTGGCAACAAGGTATCTTTAATGCCTTTTTTGTTTTTTTTTGCATGCTTTTGGGAAATAAATGAAGCTTCAGGGTGCTGTAAGCCTGTGTCAGTCTCAAGAATACTGGAACGCATGTCTTCTGTATTGGTCATATGTTTGACTTTAAATTCGAGGGCTTTCAACCAAAAACAAAATTGAAAGGCATTTTAACAATATACCGCACATTGTTTTAATCATTTATTTTTTTTTTTTTTGTGTAACCACACGATTGAAATAGTGGTGGAACCACTTCTTAGGAGATGACGAATTTGTTGTGTCTTAAACTTGGTACACATACAGGAATTTTTCTTGTTCAACCCAGGTGGCTGAATGGGGAAAAAAGAGTTTGCCATACAGCTCTGATCGGATGCTGGTTTTTCAGCTTGCCTGTTTGACAGAAGCCGGTCATTAGTCTGGCTTCTGTTGCACAGGCTGCTGTACACACTGGCCAAATGGCAAACGGTTTCTGTTGAGCCAGTTGATACCAACCAATAATTGTCCCCTATGTAGCAGCCTTTACATAACTGAGTTAGTGAAGTCCCCGTAGTCAACTCCCACCTATGGCTGTATCTAGGAATTCATTTTCTTGATGAAAGCTAATCGGTAAATTCATTTTTAAGTATCCTTCCCATACAGCAGTCACTCATAAATCCAGTAGTGTGTATGCTCTCCTCTGAGAGTTGAGATAGAAAACATGAATTGTGAGCTGTCTGGTATTTTGGCAGTATATAGTAAAGTGTGTGTATACCCCCCCAAAAAATGTTTGTTTTGAATAGAGTAGGGAAGGGTTAAAACACCCTTTCTTTCCTTCTTTTCTTTCCTTTTCTTTCCTTCTTTTCTTTCCTTCTTTTCTTTCCTTTCCTCTTTTCTTTCCTTCTTTTCTTTCCTTTCCTTCTTTTCTTTCCTTCTCCTTTTCTTTTCCTTTTCCCTTTCTTTCCTTCTTTTCTTTCCTTTCCTTTTTTCTTTCTTTCCTTTTCTTTTCTTTTCCTTTCTTTTTTCCTTTTCTTTCCTTTTTCTTTTTTCTTTCCTTTT